ACATCGTTTCGGTTCATAATAAAGTTGGCCATTGAACTTTGCGAAATCTACACTGCGCTTGCGTAGACATGGGACTCTTGAGGATTGATAAAGCGCGATTTAAAAGCAATGTTTATTCATTTATTGTTTTTTCTTGTATTTATTCAAAGCAATAAATCTGGGCATACCACATGGGAAGGAGACAAAAATATACTGCATTTGAATCTATCGTGTATTGTACCTGCACAAACAGTCAAAGATCCATGCAACTATGTAAAGCTTTTAATTACAAACAATTTGTTCTGCGCCATCCTACATCCGTTTATCTGCAGGCGATCTGTAATTCTAACAAATATTAATCCAATATGTGAGTGTCAAAGGCATATTCCAATTAAAAAATACATTTTTCATTGAAATGTTATTCGTGTTCATTAACGCTAGAACATATGAATATTGAATGAAATCAACGATGGACCAACCTTGAAATAAAAAAATTGCCCCCGTTACACTTTTAGATGCTTTCAATGTCATGATATGACTGCAAATTAGAAACTGGGGACTCGATGCAACCGTAGCGAGTCACTTAGGAAACATAAAATATCTCAGTGTAATTAATTTATTTGTTATTCAGACACATCATTCTTGTCCAGATTCCAGGAAAAAATATTAAAAGCGCAACAAGGGAAATATTTAACACGATCTCTTAGACCTAAAATACTCGTCGGTATGAATCATTCGCACGATCGCGACAATATACCAAATTCTATCCCAAATAGTATACATTGAGTTATTTCCCAGCAATGGAAAATCAAATATCTACGAGCCGACTAAAATATTAAAATCTAAAAAATGCCATTGAATTTATTACCCTTTGCATTCATTCGACTTTGTGCCCAGGGTAATATTTTATCAACCTGGTACGTTTTAATTTTTGTAGTCACTGTTACTTGTCAACGACGGTAATTTCCTCATCTCGGCGCTAACAGACAACAGTTACGCCAACTGCAGTCGTCGATGCGCTGAGTCCCCACGTGGCCCCTTTTTCGATAACTGCAGTCGTCGATGCGCTGCGTCCCCACGTGGCCCCTTTTTCGATGATATCACTGTGTTAAATTCCAAAATCAACCTATTTATCGATAATAGTATTTGATGTTATGTGTAATCCGATATCTCTGGAAATATTTTCAAAAATATAACTATATTATAAAATGAGTAGAAATAGAGAGCTGCAGAGAGACGATGTCCGCCATTTCTTGAAAATCACTAAAATACTATTCATTTCACATATTCATTGATCAATTTCCATCAGTATTTTCTACGTATTCGCCGAAAGGGGCATTTCTACTGCCGCTTATTTAAAAATTAATATTGATTTACAAAATTAAAGTTAGTTAGCATTTTGAAATAGCATAAAAACAATATGTTTGTTTGTTTGTTTGTTTGTTTGTTTGTCGTTTGTTTATTTGTTAGGTTATTTTATTTGAGAATCAGTGCAAAGAAAAAGAAATCAAAGCACTTGTGGTGCAACGTAGGAGAGTCACGGTAACATACCGTTACCGGAACCCAACATAAATGGATTGGATTGGATCATAGTAAATTCCACTCTGCAAAAGTAATAACGTCACGCTCAAGACATCAAATTACGGTTATTTTATCCGATTACCATATCATTTTAGGTAATTGATTTTGATACTTTTGAAATAAAATTAATAGGGCTGGATTAAATTATATACTTCGGGGATCCAAGCCGTTTGGATTAAACGTGTTTACTAGACGTGATTTGAATACAGATTGGATGGAATTCGAAGGAATGTAAGTCTTCGGTCCTCGTAGAGTATCATTACCGACAATTATTTGAACTTTACATGAGATGCGTAATAGCATGACTTATTCGATTTGAAGATTGCGCCTATTCAGATACATGGGACAGGCCCGTAGCCAGGGGGGGGTGGGGGTTCGATGGGATCGAGCGAACCCACCCCTGGCCAAAACATCTTTCAAAATCATGCAGTTTTTCACCATTCTGAGCACTTTTTAAGTGCCGTTTTTGGACCAAAATTGTCACAAGTGAACCCCCCTTGGCAAATCCTGGCTACGGGCCTTTGTGAAGAGAACCCTTACATACATTTAGTAAGGCATATTTTAAGCTTCTATGATATAACAAATGTGGATTTAGTGATCGTTTTGTGTATTTATCATTCTATTAAGTAAGTCAACCTGTAAATTCGTTGACACATCACAATTCATATATAATCAAGTGAATTGAAAAGTGCGATAATGCATCCGGTTGTTAAAGGTAACAGACAAGACGAGGGCAGAAATAATCTTGATTTACGTCATTAAAAATCAAAATTCAGACAAAGTTAATTTTCTTTGAGAATGTGACTATTAGATTACCCTTTGCATTCGTTTGACTTCACTTCTTAAAAGAGAGCTTCGTCTCCACTCTTTCAAACTAAAATAAACCTGTGAACTCACCGCGCCAATCAGTTTTCGTCAGCCAAATTTGACCGATGTTCTTTATATGGTCATTCCTTCTGACGTCATCATTGAGCCCGGAATTGACCAATGCCATGCGAATATTTAATTAGAACGCATTTGGCGTATGTTTCCTGAAGCTCGCTGATTGGTGGAAGGGCAGCGCGTAGGTCATAAGTGTTTTACCCAAACTGTCACCGGTACCCGTCGAGGGGGTGGGGCTTTTAAACTGTAATATGGTCTCTACTAGGCAGAGTGTAGTTTAACTAGACTCTGCGAGCAGGGTACTATTGGGAGATATAATAGTCAACAACCAATCAAAATCTAAAGGTGTGCGCATGCGCCTGAAACGAGCGCAGAAATTCAAATTCACTATCAAACCTGTTTACAGTTGACAAAAGTTGATGATCGACAAAAAAACATTTTGAAAAAAACTTAAGGACCGACGGTCAGACGGCGCATTTGACCATTTAGGGACGCTGGCTTTTCACACGAACTTCTATCCAGAGGTCCATGATTTTCAGCACAAATAAAATTCTCGGGATCTTTCGTATATACCTTCCTTTCGAATGGTATACAAAGGTATGGGATTGGTTAAGAAATATGTGGTAATTGTGATAAACTGCTATATCTCTCTTTAGGGAAAGAACAGACAAGCATCCACCTTAATTGGGAAAGACACTCTAAGTGGAAAAATATTATCGACCGAGACTTGTCATTTGCTCTTAATACATCGAAATGGCATTTTTGTACACATTGAATATTTCATCCAAAACCATCAAGGTGTTTCGTGACTTTGGGAATACAATGAAGATGGATGATCATGAAATATAATATGGGGAAATGCCAGTGCCGAATATGGAAAACTGTTTGCATAAATGCCTTACTGACCAACGTCTTTGTAAAAACAAAAAAGAGGATTAGCGAAACATTTTGTTTATTTAAGATAACTTTTGGCCTGGTTTCGGCAAAAGTAAGGGTTGAAATCATAAAGTTTGGCAGACATATATTTCTTTCAATGTCTAATTTAAAGGTTCGTGAACTTAAAGAGAGCCAAACGATTAGAATAACAATCTCTCCCTTGGAATGGATAGGCTTTAATTTAATAGGGGTGTTCCCAATTAACCTAATTTTCTCGAAAAGCACCATGAGCATCCAATCTTCGAGTTTTGACTTACAAATAATATACTAGCTTAGTTCCAATTGACAATATGATTAATAGTAATATGACGTAGCTAGAATATCTTCAGATTCTTACAATCATCCAATCAACCTGTAATCACGTCTAATAGTAATTAATAATAAATGATAAGCGATACCAAGGCCCTTGTGAAAATAAAGTGCAAAGTATAATATAGCTCAACTGCAAGGGAAATAAGCAAGTACGAATAAGTTAATCCTTTCTGTAACTCTTATAATCGCTAAAATATGCAATTGTCTGTTTGTGGCTTGATTAATCTAAAAACGACCGGATCATAAGCTACATGTACCTTTTTTCTTATTGAAATCAAAAATTTTAAAAATGTATGCAAATCTAAACAAAAATGATGAATTATGAAGTAGAAGAAAACAGGGATGCTTAGGATCATCTCTAACCAATGACGTTTAATTCCTAGTGGTCTAGATTATTATCCATTATTATATCAAAAAGTCATTTTTTATAGATAGTTGAGGTTAAACGAGAAATTGAGGTTGTAGCAATTTTTCACGTACCCGTAAATGCAAGTGTTAACATTTAATAAAAAGAATGTCATGTTTTCCTGAAAAACACGTTATTATTAAAATCAAATTTCCAAAAAATACGAACCTCGTAGTTTTTAGATTAAACGACGTAGCTAACATTGCTAAAAAACGAAAAAGTTTTTACATATTTTAAAAATGTATTTTGTACCTCTGATTTTATCCTTCGCCAAAATGATTGTGCAAAAACTTACCGATTTCCAAACTGGGATGTTCTGCAATTATCGATACTATATCTCGTATTCGATTAGTCTGATCACGACAGATATCCAAAGAAGTTTCGATTAGCAGGTGTTGATCGAATATAAAGCAGTCACTCTCAATTTAAGTTTTAAGTTGTTTTCGTTAGTTGTTAACAATTTCTCATTTTGATATAACAGATTGATGTTATTGACCTTTTCACTTATTATTACAGTTAAATAAATATTTTTGAAACAACTTTGCGTTTTGATGATAGGTCCGATTGTTGTAGTTTTAATATATTTGCTAAACGCAAGTTGACTGGCACTATATTAAAAAAATTAAAGCTGTCATATAATTGGCTTTTATTTATATATTTTTCAATATGAATAAATTTATCACGTACATAGTTATTCAGAAATTGCCTTTCATAAAGTAGATAAAAACATATACGACAATAAAAATCATTTCGTTTATTAACATCCGGTTATCAAAACGTGTACAGTTGTTAAGCCGTATTGGAAAATCAGTCTTAATAAAAATTTTCACCCAGTTATTATACGACTTTTTAAAATATTTATTAAAAATTACTATTTATAAAATAATAGTTAAAAAACACATACCTTTTACGCTTATGACTACATATATCCAATTTAAGCGTCAAATCGAGGAAATGCAAAATCACCGAGACATATAATTGCTGGCTATAGGAGATACCTGGCTGTTACACATCTCCCGACATAGAAATGGATTAATCTGTCCTCGAACAAGCGTTCACGATGTTATATTGCCTTTTGTGTTCCACACTCTACAACCTATTACATAGCGCGGTTGCAGATTCTTGCTACTCTGTGACGTAATTTCGCATTTAACCAATCGGTTTACGAATGATTGCACAATCTAGTTATAAAACCCTTATGACCCCCCCCCCCCTCCTATACCTCCTCGCGAGTTTAAGAAGGTGTATAGTTTTTCAGAGGGGATGACAGAGTCTTGGAGCTAGATTAATGATTGTGTATTGTTGGTTTTCGTCGTCTATATGTAAAAATATCACATTTGTGGACGTATAGGGCTGCGCAATAAATGATGACGTAATCAAATGTGGCTTACGTAATAGGTTATATGGGAAATAAACATGACTGCTATAAGTGAGGTGCGAAATCTCTCTACTATTTCTACGGTATGACTCTCAAAATATCGCTTTTGAAAATGTAAAAAATCTCAATTCAAATTGAGATGATGGTTGATTGAAATCAATGTTCATCGGTGAAATGTAGACTTTGTATTTTATTGTGTCTATATTTTTTGTATATAACTCTATAAAAAGTATTACGAGATGATTTGGTTTACTACAAATGGGATGGTGATCTCAAGTTTGAAAACTTGAAAATTCTTGAAGATTTGAATAGATGGCGGAAAGTTCCGTCAGATCTTTTGATTTTGGTGGCCTCTCTGGAGACATTTCGAGTTTCAGGGGGGGGGGGGTGGGACATTTGGGGCTATCCAGTGGTATATGAGGTTAGGTAACTAACTTAATTAATTACTCCGAAGATTTGTGTTTTTCATTTGAATTGTATTGGACAAGTCATAGCGGAGTTACTTATTTCGTAAAAAGCCGAACGCCCAATACATACAATTTGCGAACGGGACATCTCCGGGTATTTCTTTCGATCTTTGCTTCAACCTATTGAAATAAAAACGTCGATCAATAGGCCATTGGGACAAACTTATATTTCCATTTATTTGTCATCGCACATCGATTTTATAAGGGATCGACTGATTTGATTGCATTTGTTATCACTATTTCATCAAAAATTGCAAAACTTTGATTCGCATTAGGTGAAACGCTTTACCCCGATAAGAGAAAATGTAACCTAAATCAGAAGAACAATTCCCTCTAGATCTATTCTCTTAAATGCACCGTGACACAGACTTTTAGGTGTTTGAACTTTTAAATGTCTGATTTATGGGAACTACTATTTATCAGCCCCTTGTGAGTAGTAACAACAACTCTTTAATATAGATCAACGGACTTGTTTTGTAATATATATTGATCAAATGAAACATAGTTATACAAGGGGTGTTCATTCAAAAAGGGGAAAACCTCATGGCTCAGAGAAGACTGTCGAAAACGTTTGTATTGAGAAGACATCGTTGCTGATTGGTTAAATCGACAGAAAAACAAGATACGATAAAACCACTATGCCGATACAATATTGTTTATGTCTCAGAGTGGTATTTGTCGTACCCGGTGGTGATCGATATGTGTCCCCACCACGATAGATTATCATACTTTTGTAAATGCAGCCAGGAGGTTTTTTTTTTATTAATGTCCATGTACCATTTGGTATATTATATTTTTGAAATCGTGTTAATCTTATGTATAGTAACGGTACAACGTTCTGAACACATTGAGCCAGTCACGATATTCTCCCCCATTAGCTAATAGCAACACTTGACTCTGATGATAACGTAATGTCACATCAAATGTCACACATCAAATAGGTCCTGTTTCGCATTTATTTATCTATCAAGATATTGGAGACTTTAAGTTTGCAATGTTTTTCACAACATAACCGTGAACGCAGTCTATGAATCGATATAGTGTTACAACCCGCTCTTCAGATTAATTAGCAATTATGATTAATGAATTAATTAATGATTTCTATTATATATATTAATGTATTAATATTCCAAGTGTCTACAGGTATGAGTAATACAATAATTTAGATGTACTAAGATACAGTAGTTATGTATTTATAGTAACAAAACTTTATTTTCTATCAAATTACAGATTTAAAAAAATCACTAAATCAGATTTTTTTACAAAAATATGAAAATGAAGTCCAATGGAGATAAACTCATAATAAACGTGTATGCTAGTCTCAGATCTCGACATTTCGTCTTGGTATTGGGAAGCAACATATAACTCGTGATATATTTCACAAACTCAACTATGGGTTCGTTGCTTTAATCCTTAAACCAATATGTCTTTATATCAAGAAAAACAGTAATATAGCTAGTAAGAAGGTGCTGCCCATTCCTCAGACGTCTGTTAATCCGTATATGTAATTGGTTTTCTAGAAAAGAAATGAAATTGTTGAAGAAGTAATGACTTTTCTAGTTAATGAATATAAGTAACTCAGAATTCCAACTTGAACAATATCAAATTAAAAAAGAAAGGAGGACGTGTCACTGAGAACTACGCGACTTTCTCTCTTACCCCATCTAGTCTGAGGGGTTCGGGAACTATAAGAAATTTTCGACACTTATACTGATTTATTTTATTTTATCTATTTTATTTATTTCTTAAATTCCAAATAATACAAATACAACACAACAGTGGAAGACACCCCAAGGGGCATATGATCCACCTATTTTATAAGTACAAGTTAGATTCGTTACTTGAGAAGCAAATGATGCGACATCTATCATCAAACTCTACACCATGAATTCATTTTTCCCGTTCGAAAATGAAAACATTCTGTCTTAGAAGATAGTGTTATTCAGAGACATTGAGACCTTTTACGTTGTTAGATAACAAAATGTCAACATGCTTTCCCCATGTAATCTTATTCCCACGTGGCGAATATCATCGTACCACCGAACTTTAACAATGGAAAACAAATAAACTTTCCTTCAATTACAAGCATTGAAGTCGTAAAATTGATTTTCTTCAGGCGGAAATGAAGGCCCCTATTAAATTACCCAGGTTTTAGAGATATGGCTCACAGAACAAAAATAAGATACATCAGTCTCGTGTATTGTTTCATTTACAATTGCTAATCTCGTGCTACGTGAACTAAAAGTTAATGAAATAGAATCAATCCTGGCCAAAGCGCAAAATAAACATCCATTGTTTTTCTGCATTTGTAGAGGAATTTATACAAAGTGTATAACCGGAAATGAAAGTGGCTCTATGGGTCACGTAATTTTCAAGAGTGAGATAATTCCTCCAAAGTCTGAACCAGCGCCACCTATCATGCAAAATTCATTAATGGGTTTCGCATGCCGTATCCGAATTATGAGCACTCTTTCCCGGGACTCTCACTGGGCGAAGTGACTAAATATAAACAATTTTAATCACAAATAATCAGTGAATAAATTATTATTATCTGATTAAAACCTATTATCAAGACTATTATTGCTGGTTATCACTGATTAATAATTATCGAGACTTATTAATCAACAATAACCAGTGTTTTAACTGGTTATTACGATAATCAATTTTCAACTTTCGTTTTAACTTGACAAATATGTCCCTGCAAAAATATATCAATGTCGACTCTGATGACGATGTATGAACTGATTGGGGATAAAGATAAAGTCAGACTCGAAGGGAACAAAAATGACATATTTAAGCAGGGTATCTTGAATTATAACCGAGTCATTCAATCTATGGGTATCAAGTGTGTAAATGTAAAACTTGATAATAATTATATTACATGAATAAAAAGAAGAAGGAAAACTGGTACATCTTTATGTGAACACAAGTACTAAATCTGGATTCCAAATGTTTCGCCATGTAAATTAATAAAGATACGATGGTAAATAACCACAAATAAATCCTCAAACAACCGCGATATTGGAGAATTTTAAAGAAAATGACTTCACTTAGAATGGCTCTAACTGAAGTTGATGATGACGTAATGGGGCCTCCTAAGCAGGTGTCCAGAATCCGTACCTTTTTCCCCCTGCTGACGAAGATCATCAACTTCAGTTAGAGTCATTCTAAGTGAAGAGCCATTTTATTTAAAATTCACTAATATTGCGAGTGTTTGGGCATTCATTTGTGGATTGAATACAATTTTAGTTTTACTAATTACATTGCGAAACTTTTGGAATCGAGATTCAACTTAATTTAGCTGAAATCGGAGGTTTATCGAAAACGAAAGAATCTCGGCAACCATCTTGAATGAAGCTAACTGCAATTAGAGTCATCCAGCTGTGGGACATTGATGTTGCTGATCATGATGGTATGTAAAATAAACTCTCCTCTATATTAGTTAGGCAGTCGGGAGTTACTATTTGGATCACGTGTTAAAACCTTTTAATGTTTCGCGGTTTAAAAGAATCAATAAAGTCATAATTAATTTCCAAATTATAAGATTCAAAACAAGATTCAAGCATCGATTGACTTTGATTTGCTATTAATAAAAATACATCCGATTTCCTTACTTATGGAGGGGAGTGTACTTTTGCGATGGAGCACGCTTTTTAATCATTTCCAATACGTTCTATTGATCAGATGATTATGATATAAAAAATACTTTATTTGACACTGGCAGTAAAATGATGGGGCAGATTGTTGTATAAAATTGTTAAAAGCATATACATATGTCGCGTTCTCATAATACCAAATATGATAAAACAATGTGTTTGATATTATTTGAGTACTTGAAGACCATCTGTGGCTTGTACTTTTAAGGGAAGCAATATCGATTTTTCGGACCGCAATCGATGATGGTCGAAGATAACCTTAACCATCCGATGAATTTGATTGGTTCCTCGGAGCATCTTCGGCCATCTTCGTGATATAAACATATTCGGCAATCTTCGTAATTTAAACATATTCGGCCATCTTCGTGATATAAACATCTTCGGCAATCTTCGTTATATAAACATCTTCGACAATCTTCGTGAAATAAACATCAATCTGAGTGATATAAACACCTACGGCAATCTTCGTTATATTAACATCTTCGGCAATTTTCGTGATATAAACATCTGTGGTTGCGATGCATCTGTGGTCTCCCT